CCCCAAAACCCCAAAACCCCAAAACCCCAGCTGCCTGAATTAGTAGAAATTTTTGTAATTAAAATAATTAAATAATCATTCATTTAAACATCAATTTGTTAATTCTTTAGTCTTTAAGTATTAATTACGTTTAATAATCTAAATATTAATCAAATACAAATCAAAGTAAAAACCATAGAAAACTTAATGCAAACAAAGACAAGTACTATTGAGACCAAAGAAACTAACATAAACAATAGTTTTAAGTTCAGAGATTTCTTTCAATTCTGTTCCAAAAGAGATAAGTTTCTACTAACAGTTGGCACTCTCTCAGCTATAAGTACAGGAACTTTACTTCCTGTGGGAGCTGTATTTTTAGGTGATATCTCCTAAGTATTTGATCCCTATTCCTAAGTACAAGATAGAAAGCAAATACTCATTGATATTGTTGAAAAAATAACAGTACTAGCTTGCTTTATATGGCTTTGCGGCTATGCTTATTTCGCACTATGGCAGATAGTTGCCGAAAACATTTCTTTTGACTTAAGAGTGAGATTTATCAAGGCTATTTTGAAGCAGGAAATAAGTTATTTTGAAGAAGTTAGTGTTGATCAAATATCAAGCACATTAGGTGAAAAATTTTATGTCATATAGGAATCTATTGGCTAAAAGTTCTCAACAATAATCTTTGCATTTTTCAACATTTTAGCTTCAATAATCTTAGCGATGATTAAGGGATTAGACATGGCTTTAATTTGCTTTGCAATTTTTCCACTGGCAATAGCCTTAATTTCTATTATTGGAGGCTCTGTGAAAGCTACTGCAAACAATAGCTCAGAAAAAGCTAATAAACTAGGTAGTAAAATTGAAGAGAGCTTATCAGGAATTAAAATTATATCATCTTTCGCTTAAGAAGATAGAGAGATTGAAGTTTTTGAGAAATTATCGATAGATTCAAGAAACTCTAGTATTAAATCTGAATATATCACAGCTGCTTTTATCGGGACACTCAAATTCACCATTTACGTGAGCTATAGCTTCAATTTTTGGATGGCTACTATTTACCTATATCATAGTAAAATAAATCCAAGTACTGGAAAGCCATACACTTCTCAAGACATTGTATGCATACTATTTGTTATTTTAAACTGCACTACTGTGGCATTTTAAATAATTCCTAATTTCCAAGCTATCATTAGAGCGAATTTGATTGGAAAATAAATATTCTCAGTAATAAATAGATAACCTAAAATTGCAGATGGAACAAACACTTTCACCAATATGAATCTATTTGATTCAATTAAATTTACTAATGTTACATTCAAATACCCAAATGCCAAATAAAACATATTTGAGCGCATTAATTTTGAGATTTAAGCTGGAAAATAAACTGCCATAGTTGGTAGTTCAGGCTCAGGAAAAAGTACTATTATATAATTGATAGAGAGATTTTATGACCCTCAAGATGGATCAATTAAATTCGGTGAAATCGATATAAAAGACTTCTTTATCGATGCTTTGCGCGAATCTATCGGTTATGTATAATAAGAGCCAGTTCTGATATTGGGATCTATAAGAGATAATATTTTACTTGGAAATAAAGATGCGGGTGAAGATGACATATAAAAGGCAATAAAAATGGCGAACGCAAGTTTCATTTATGATTTAGAAGATTAACTCGATACCTATATTGGTACATCATCATTAGTTAATCTCTCTGGTGGATAGAAGCAAAGAATCGCAATTGCAAGGGCTTTGATTAAGAACCCAAAGATTTTAATACTAGATGAAGCAACCAGTGCTCTAGATCCAAAAAGTGAAAAAGATGTCCAATAAGCTTTAGTAAACATTTAAAACTCAGAAAATAGTTTGACGACAATAGTAATTGCACATAGACTGTAAACAATATAATCTGCTCAACACTTAATTTACTTTAAAGAGGATAGGACCATTGAGATTGCTCAAAAGGGATCAGCAGAATTTGATCAGATATTTAGTGAAATGAGTAAAAATGACGACTTTGAAAAAAATAAAAAAAGTAAAGATGACACCATAACTAATTCTTAAATTTAATCAATCGATTAAGAAGCAGAGATGACTGATAAAGTTGGGAAATATGAAATACCTATGATAAACACCTCTAGAGATTTAGAAAACTAGTATGATACAAATTCACCAAAATAGATATTATCCTCATCTTAAGTTTCCAGTGACAAAGAGATCACACAATAAAAATAAAATAGCTCTGTAATAAGTAGAATAAATAATTACTATGGACCCAAATTTTTGGTATTCTTAGCTATGCTTGCTAGTCTGTTAAATTCTTTTACATTTCCTTTGAAAGGTATGATCTACATGAAAAATCTGTTCGTTCTTTCAAGATATAAAGATACAACTTTCATTGATGAGAGAAATGTGTGGTGTAGTATTTACTTAGCTTTAGCTCTATATTCAGGTCTATTCGACTTTCTTGCTAGAAGCTTACATAAACACCTAAGTGAGAACCTTTCATGCGCTATCAGAAATAAACTTTACTCCACAATGATCAAAAAGAATGTGAGTTGGTTCGATAGAAAGGACAGAGCGCCTGGCATCTTGATAAACATTTTTTCTGAGGATATTACAGCCATAAAAGGTTTGACTGGAGAAGCTTTCTCTAATATCCTTGAAGCTATAATGACTATCATTGTTGGAGGATTTATAGCTTTAAACTTTCATTGGAAAATGGCAGTTATTTCACTAGCTACTTCACCATTCGTAATGTTTGCAGGATTTGCCTTGCAATTAGTTATATGGAATAGAACTAAAAGTACAAGTCAGCAAAGTGGCAAGAATAAAGAAGCCCTGGATCCATATGATAAGGCAAATGCCTTGGTGTCTGAAATTCTTATGAACTATAAGACAGTTATTAGTTTTGGGCCTAAAAACGTTGACTATCTTGTGTAAAAATATGCTAATCTATTAGAAGAACCCAAGAAGTTAAGCCACTAATCTGCTCATCTCTCTGGATTCATGTATGGCTATTATCAAGGAATTAGATTTTTGTTCTTGGCTTTTAACTTCTACATTTCAACTATCTTTATCTTTGATGACAATGACGACCCAGAGAAGACATTTATAGCAATCTACACAGTAATGATGGCAGCTTTTGCTGCTGGAGGAGCACTTTCATTAGTCCCATCGTTCACAAGATCTAAAAATTCTGCAAACAAAATTTTTGGTATCATTGAAGATGAGAGTACAGAACAATTCACAAAAAGAGAAGACAAAATTGCATTGCAATCTGAGATTAAAAAAGGGACCATTGAGTTCATTAATGTTGAATTCAAGTACCCTTCACGAGAATAGTAGGTTCTAAGAAATCTATCTTTTAAAATTTAGGCTGGAACGAAGGTAGCAATTGTGGGCCACTCAGGTAGTGGTAAAAGCACTATTGGAAGTTTGATTTTGAGAATGTATGATAAGTCAATTGGTCAAATTCTAATTGATGATTCTTAGCTTGAAGATTATGACATCAAGTCTCTGAGAAGATAAATTGGCTATGTCATGCAGGAACCTAAACTTTTTAATATTAGCATTAAGGAAAACATTATCTATGGAAACAGAACTGCATCAAACAAATAGATTAAAGAGGCTGCTTAGCTTGCAAACTGCTTACATTTCATTGAATAAGGTTTGAATTAAGCTCAGGAAAATGAAAGTCTTGATTTGCTCATTACAGTCAAAATAAATAAAAACGAACAGAAAATACTTGAACTTAAAGAATAGGTTGTTCATTTATCCGAAGATGGTACCATAAGTTCTGATTAGCTTAGACTTATAGAAGAAATCTTTGAGAATTCTGATGATAACATGATCATTAAAATTGATTCAAACTTTACAAGATTCATTCAAGTCGTTCAAGTTTTAAGTGCCGCTGGCTTAAATAGCTGGGTTGAAGTAGTATAAGGTTTATAGATATTGCTTGAAATCGATGCTTTTCACAATGAAGTAACTAATGATTCACCAATTATTCTAGAGGGCAATTGTAATGCCTTCTCTGATAAGTCAAACTCTTCCCAATAGAGAAGGAGTTCAGAAATTCCATCAGATTTAAAGACAGTTCTAGATTTATTCCTTAAGAATAACTCGATTGAATATCCTCAATTGCAAGAGTAATTGAAGTTAAACTAAGAAAGAGCTTAAATCTTGAAATAAGGAAAAATCGGCTCTCTCAATGGAAAAATAGAGAAGGATAACAGTCCATTAGCTAAAACGTAATAAAATATATAAAACGATCAAGAGGATTAATAATTACATGAGGGATTCAACAGATTATGTGGATTATAAGGATCAATGCTGTCTGGAGGTTAAAAGTAAAGAATTGCTATTGCAAGAGCATTAATCAAAGATCCTAAAATACTGATTCTTGATGAAGCTACTTCTGCTCTTGATGAATAATCTTAGAAAGAAGTTTAATTAGCTCTTGATAAGGCTATGGAGGGCAGAACAAGTATCATAATAGCTCATAGACTTTCAACGATTCAAAACTGTGAATGGATTTTAGTGATGCATTAAGGATAAATAATTGAGCAAGGTACATTTCAAAATCTATCAGAGAATAACTAATCCTATTTCTACAAACTTAAAACAGGAATGGAGATGTGATGATAATTATTTGTATTTAATTTGAATATCTTAAAATTTGATTAACTTTATGGTCTATGGGGTTTTGGGGTTTTGGGGTTTTGGGG